CACTATGACAACAGTTCTTACACAGATTTTCCAGTCACTGCTTCTGTGACACAAGCATTCTTTGAAACTGTTTATGTTAGTGAAAGGCCACATTCTCAGACACTTTAAAAAAAAAAAAAAAAAAAGTGTTCTAACTCCATTAAGAATAGTTTGAAGTTCTCACTTTCTTCCTTGGGCATTAGTGTGCCTATTAGTTCTGTATCTTCTGAATGTTTGACAACGTGAAGAAATGTAGAGGTCAGCTCTAAGGCTCGTACTGAAGGTCAGCTCAGTGCTTGCACTTAAGTACAGTATTTATAACGAGGGTGATTGCAGGCATCGGCCCGACAGGGTACTGAGGAATTTGACTGCATGACAGAAGGCGAAGCAATAATAATGCTGAGACTAGCGCTGATTTAAAATCAAAATGAGATAAAAGATTTGCAGTCTGGAAACCAGACGCTGTCCTACTCCTGTTTAGATGCAACTGCAATACGAATTAGCACCGAGCAGGCTCTGTTCAAACAGGACTGAAGGCCAGACTCACATCTGGGGAAACTTTTTAAAGAGCCTAAATTAATCGAGCAGTTTTATTGAAAGAAAAAAGTTGTCATTTTGGACAGTGACAGGAATTTAATGGGGAAACTCAAGACTACTGGGGAAATGAGAGACAGAGCAAAAGGCTGGGGTAGTTTGGTGGATGTCTGCTGGCACCCAGGATCATGCAGTTGTAGCATCATTGCTCTTACCCCCCTTGCACCTTGCCTTCAGGTTGTGTGATCAGGCAAAAAGCCTGGAAATGGGAAGGACGTGACAGTATTATTTGCCTCTCTGCCACTAAAATAGGACTGAAGCACACTGCCATGGCCACAGCGACTGCCAAACCAAGCGGTACAGTTAGATTTGTCCTGCTCTCTCCCAGCCACGGGGACTTGCAGCTGTTTGCCATTTAAACACAGTTTATCTTGTCCCAGTTTCATTTGGTTGTTGCAGCCATCAGGCTCGACCATTTGTGTTCAGGGCCCGTGTTTCTGTGCAGGAAATAGCTCTGAAGTGCTCTGCAGCCTTTCTGTAGTGTGCCTCATTATTGCAGCACCCTCCTCTGGCTCTTCTACCTATCTGGCCTCTCAGAAAGATGAAATGTTAGGTCTGTTATGTGAAACACATTGATTTGTGCCCACTTAGAGTGAACGGAAACCTGGTACCCCAGGCACTGTGCGAATGTTGGCTTTATATTGAAGTTGAGCTGTAATTGAACAGCTTGTTAGCAATAATAATGATTCATGGGGAATCATTCCTGCCTTCTGATCAGCCTGTCAAATTCATCAGCAAGAATGATAAAAAGGATGGTGCTGCAGCTGGAGCTTGGGGAATTTGCCTCATCACTTTACCATTACTCTGTGTTTAGAGCTGCTCTTGCATCTTGCTGCTGCTGTAGGTGCAGTGCCACCCCGGCCAAAGAGCAGCATATTTTTATGCCTTTGCAGACCAACTTTGCAGGGAGAGGTCAGTGACATTCCCGAAAAGTCACCTGCTTTGGCTCAACACTTCTGCCAGTCCGGAGCGAGGTGGGCATGTGCTGTCCATGTGTGGTTGTCACCCTTTCCTCTCATGCCAACCCCAATTATCTGTCCCTACAAAATCTGTCTCAAGGGGAGCTGCCAAGGAAGATGGAGCTCGCTTGCTAGGCACGAGTCTCTCATTCTCCTGGGGAGCTTTACGTGGCAGCACGAGCTTTGCTTTGGGAAGGCAAGGTCAAAGTCGGTGAGGCAGCAGCCGGTCGGCGTGCCCCTCAGGGTGGGCGCTGGGTGCGGTGACCTCTCCGCTCTGACCGCAGCCCGGGCTGAAGTTCAGCTCTGCTGATACCATCTCGGGTGTGTTTACGTGGTCGGCTATAAAAACAATGTTGCTCCAGCAAGTTTTCACAGTTCAATTTGTTTTAAGAACTAGAAGGAAAAAAAACAATAAAAAAATCAACATTTCAGGAATTCTTTTCCTCACCGACAGATCAGCTTGAATGCAGCGAGCAGTCCCACAGCCTCATTGCAAGCTTTTCAGCTGCCTTTCCTGTTTCCCACACACCGCAGGCAGCAACCTTTGCCCAGGGCAAGGTGACCGTTGATTAACGGGGAAGACCTGAGCCCTGCCTGGAGTGGGAAGGATGCTGCAGCAAATAGGATGTTTGTTCCACTTGCAGCCCAAGGAAAAGGAATTTCTGGAATGATCTGGGTAAAAAAAAAAAAAAAAAGTAATGTTTCTTTTGGCAGCCTCGCTCGGATAGTCCTTGAGCTGTTGTTTGGTGGTTTTATTTACACCGAGGAAATCCAAGCAAATAAGGCTGCCCTGGGCTATCAGGATGGCTTAAGTTTCTGACATTTTTCTTGCGATGCAAAAGTTTGGATATTTGCCACTCGGTCATTTCATAGCACCGCGCGTGGAAAGCGTTTAGTTCTGCTCTCCAGCTGCGGTCAGGTTGTTTCCTCAGGTCTCCAGTTACCGCTTTTCCAGGAAGGGTCAGTGCAGTCCCCGCTCGGAGCAAGCGGGTCCTGGGCTGGCAGGGAGAGGCCAGCAGAGAGGGGGACGAAAAAGCAGGAGCTGGCTCGGCATCTCCTCCTGGCTGGCGGCAGCAGGCCGGGACCTTCCTGCCCCGATGCCAGCCCAGTGAGATGAAATTTCTGCGCTGGTTTGGCGCTTCTCACCAGTGGATTCCACTGGTTTTCTGAGCATCATTTTTAGAGCAGTAGCCTGTTCCTAAAGCAGTAACCCTTTGGTTGTAATGGGGTAGATAATAAAGTTTTGCACCTTGTCTGTGTCTGCGTGCATGAGACTGCTGGACACTTTTGGCCTGTGCCAGCCAGCACTCTTGAATGAATCCTGGGCATGGTTTGGGACTTTAAAGCCTCGTGCCACTACTGGCAGGGACGTGCTGCTTGGCCTCGATGCCCTGCAGTGCTTCTGGCCTTGCTGAATTTACTGATACAGCTGTAGCCTTTGAGAACTGCTGATGAAAAACATCACACAATAGCAAAGTATATATATATATTTTGTTTGTTAATAATTAGTATTTCAGTGGCAGTTGGTGCTTTTCTCTTTTGAAATAGTTTTCTTGACCTCACAACAGGTTTGAGTTTCTCTAAATATGAAGGGGAATGATGTGAAATATCTAGTAAATTGAACCAACGGTAAGAAGTAAGCCACAAATCCAAAATGTAGTCCTGCCTGTGATTGGATTTCTTTATCTCATTTTTCCCCCAAGATTTTGCAAAGTTAACTAAGGTCACCTGCCAGTTGCTGGTAGATTTTAGCAGGCAGTTCAGAGTCAGGGATCTTGTAGCAGTAGCGCTCTGCAAGATGCTGCTAGCAATTATCCCTGGTTCCATTCTGATTTCTATATGTGACCTGAAACACCTCCAACTGTATTGGAAAAAACATTGGATGCTTGCAAAAAACCTTGCCCATTAAATGAAATGCCTCTGCGTTTGCATTTCCTTGATCTAATTTTTACAAATAACCCACCCTTCCAAACTGCTGCTAGTGCTTCCAGTGCTGTTATATCCGTTTAATCCTTGCCACCTTTCATTTGTAAGATCATATAGCAATGGCAACGGCGCATACTACGTGGTACCAGCAGTTGGGCTCACCCTCTGTTGTTCAGCCGAGATGCACAACTCCTGGCATGTTATTCCTCCAGCACCTTGGTATCATCATCTCCCATCCAGTTAATGCCTGGTGGTTTGCTGACTCGTTCCCAATTTATGGATCCCAGAGCACATTTCTTGAAGAATACAGCAGGGTTGTGAATGGTTGTCAGGAATACTGCAGGGTTTTCTTTGTAAAACATATTGCACCCGGGAGGAGGGCAGGGACTAAGGAAGAATTAGCTTCGGCTGACTGGGATGAAGCTGGAATAAGTGTGGGAAGAGCAGAGCGCTTTGCAGAGATCTTCCTTCCTCTGAAACCCAGGGGATGGCAGCTGAAATCTGCAGCTTGTTTTCTCTTGTACCATTAGGTACAAAGACTGGTGGAAAGAAAAAGATTTCTATCAATATTATAGGAACATTTAGTTGCTTATAATAAAAAACATGTTCTCTGTCTATGTATCATGCTCACCCTATCCTCATTCCTTCCATGACTTCAGTGCCAGTATCTGAAGGATGTAATGGCAAAAAGTCTTCCAGTTGTCTTCACATTGTGCCTGGGCTTGGACGATTTTCACAACTTTCTAACTTTTCAAGCTTTTTTTTTTCTTTCTTTTTTTTTTTTTTTTAAAAATTTCTTCCCTGCTCTTTAAAAATTAAATATCCCAGCCTGTTTAGGCTATGGCAGGGTAAGCTGGTTGCCCCAAGCAAGTCCTCCCAGTCTGCCCTTCACTGTCCAGCCCTGTGCACGGTGTTCTTCTTTCCTGGCTCCTGGGGCAGGTGGAGGTTTTTTTTTTAATTTCTCGAATGCAGCTGATCAGAATTGCTGTCCATAACCCTTTGCGTGCTGGAGATGGGATGTTACCATGGGCTGACCAGGGAAAGAGCAATCAGAAAAGAAACCAGCCTAGTAGCTAGCTTCCACGGAAGGAGAAAATGTAACTTTTATCTTGTTTTATTTTGCAATCTGTTGACATTCATTGGTAGCATATATGGAGAGATTGTAGTTCCAGGAACGGTCTCCAACTTTATTTATAAGGGAAATAGCAACAGAGTTGCTCATATTGCCCATAAACAGGCTTCCAGGGCTTTGGACTGATGTCTGTTTGTTCCGTGAACACCACGGCTAAAACAAAAATGAAAGTCTCAGGTGGCAGCCAGCTGATGACTTAGTCTCACTGACTGTGTGGGGACCTGGACAGCATGAGAGGGCACAGAGCAGTGCTCTGGGCCTGTGCCTGCTATTTATTCCCTGTGTGATCATCCCAAAGCAATGCCCCTACCTGAGCCGTGCTTCTCTGTGCCTCCATTTCCCTGTGTGCAAAAGGTTAGCCATGATCCCGACTCTTTTTTTTAGAGACTCTTTTTTTTTTTTTTGGAAAGCGTTTTGACCCCTGCTGCTGAAAAGAGCCAGACACTTCTTCGTGATTGACCCAGGTGCCTGGGATGAAAGCAGGCTGCCTCCGAGGACCAGGCTGCCTTCTTCGGGGCGCGGAGAGCTGGTGTTGCTGGAGGTGCGTGACCGTCTGACGTGTTTACATCCTGGACTGCTGAAGTAATATCTGTAGGCCATCACTTTGGCTTGAAAATTGATTTTATTAGGTGAAAATGAACTGAAGAAATGAACTGCAAGCCCCATTGCTGCGCTTACAAAGTGCGTTATCCAGCCTTATGTGCCCGGACGTAATGAATACACAGAGACCACCTACTTTGAACACTCCTCTGATTTTTCCAGTTTCTTTAAAGTCTAATAATATTGGCGATGCAGGATGAAAGCAATTGTGAAAAGTGAAAAAGTCCTTGTTTGCCTATCCTGTCATCTGGGGTCTGTTTCACTGAAGCTGAAAATGAAGGTAACTTGCCTTAATGCAGCAGGACAGCTTTTAGTCTAATTGAACCATGCATCGGCAAGAACCCAGTATTGAGCCTTCAGTCTCGGGTTAATCCCTTTTATTGGCTTGGGTGCAGGTTATCATCCCTTCTTATCAAACAAGGACCCCTTTCTTCTCGCTCAGGATCAGGACTAAAAGCCAGTTGAGAAAGAGCTGACAAATTCAAAGCGGTAAGCCTCCCCCCGCTCCGAAACTGCCCCGTGCACCCACGAGGCGCTCTGCGGCACACACACGCTTCAGCTGCAAGGCTCGGGTGCGTTTTTGTTGCTGGGAAGCTCCCTCCCTCTCTTCCTCCCCTTTCAGCTGTGATTTTTGTAGCAGCAGCTTCAAAGTGCACGGACTTGGTTCAATTGTTTTGCCCAGCGTTCGCCGATCAGTATGTCAGATTAAATTTATGGGCAGTTGACCAGTGCTTAGTATTTGAACACCTGCTTCAACCTCCTCGTCTGGCACAGCTCTGTGAGCAGAGGTATGTCAAAGTCACCGATAGCGAGTGCATGGTGCAACTTGGTGATGTTTTCAGAGGAAAATAAAGGTGGCTTTTGGGGGAAAACCAATAAACAGTCCTTTTGTGTGAGGCAGCTGGTCAAGCTGCAGCATTGCAATTGTCCTTTCCGACCTTAAACTCCAGAAATCTACTTAAATCACCCTGACCAAAAATCCCCTGTGTTCGTTAGGGAACAGTTTTACCATGATTATAGATCACATCACAGAGAAATGAATAAAAGGATATACTGTGCGTATTTTCAAAGCAGGCAAAGATTTTTAAATGAATTAACATGAAATCTTCCACAAAGGCTATTCTGTATGTACCTCTAATTTATTCTGTGCTACTTTTTGAGTGTCACTTATTCCAATAGTGTATTCTTTAAACACAGTAGAACTACCAAAAATTCCCACTTTTTGCTTCATCCTCGGTGCCTGCCTTGACCTTTTGAAACAGCTTCTACAATGAGAGCAATATTTTAACAGGTTTTATAACAAGGAGGAGAAGAGGAGGAAAAGTCAGCCTTATTAAAGGTCAGAGCAGCCTAACAGGAGATACAATAAATGAAGATCTTTATGAAGGCCTGAGACCGTCATGCTTCCGCAGCAGGGTTCGTCTCCCTTTCCTCTGGAACATCTGGTCTGTGACTCCCCGAAACGGGATACTGAGCGAGGTGAACCCTGGCTCTGATCCGGTTCGGCGCTTCAGTTCCCCCTTGCACCCTCCAAGCTCCAGCAGTCAGCAGCAATTTGAGGTGTGTGAGAAGTGTGTGACCCAGCAAAATTTTGATGCCTCTGAAAGAATCCGCTCCTTTGTCTGCTTCTGGGAGGTTTGGCCAAATTCTTCCCCTCGTCGCTTGCATCCCCTTCTCACTCTTTCCCTGCAGGCACTCTAAAAGAAAAGCTTGCAATATCTTAAAAAACTTCCTTTCCCTCCATATTGTTCTTTGGTGAAAGCATAGTGAAGCTGGGATCTTTTTTTTTTGTTTTCTTTTTTTTTTTTTTTTTTCATACAAAACAGCACAATGCCTGCTGGCCTGGGTATCCGAAATATGGTTTTATTGTTGTGGAAAGGCCTTAATGAGGAAGAAAAAAACCCTATTTAATAAAGTGCATCAAGTGCCCTTGGGAAAAATTAGCACACAATGACTTCTTGTGCTGCCAATTGAAACAACAGATTGGTGTAGTGATAGGCTTTACAGGAAATATTAAAAAAGCACAGATGGCTCAAGTTTACATGTTTACAGTGGAGTTGGAACAGCAGCTAAAACCTTCCAGTGTAGTATAATTTACTAGAAGGTCATAGACCTAGTGGTTAAGAATGAACCTGAAGACTATTGTAAACACACTATTAGGGTTTGTAGAGGTCTAATCCCAGCATTTTTCATTCTTTTCTGCAATATTAGAAGCAACTGGCTGCAGTGTTAGTGAAAAGAGATACTTCAAGCATGGAAAAATGTGACATTCCACTGGCACTTGTGGGGCTGAGCTGTTGCAGGAGCTGGAAGAGGGTTATGCAATTGCTACTGTTACTATGTAATTAGAAGCTCCTTGGCACTAATCGGCGATTCAGCTCACAATGTGATTAAAAAAAAAAAAAAAATACATACTGAAAATGTAGCTAGAAACAAGCTGCTTCAGCAATTCCGGGAGGATGGGCTGTGCCCTTAGGAGCCGTGGTTCACAGCTCTCGAGGACAGCTGGCCAGAGGAGGAGAGACCCCTGGGCTCCGGGGCAAGTCCTCGCTCTGCCAGAGCTTCCTATAAGGCCCAGGCCAAGCTGGTGAGGATCTTCCCCTATTTAGATGCCTAGATGAAATGCTAGAGCCCTTTCTTTATTTGAAAGTTTGCTGCATCTGCAGTGGGATCTAGTAGAAATGTGGCCACAGCAGGTAGCAGGGCTCTCAGCAGGGATGCCTTGAGCTTCCCAGGCATATTTTTCATCATCTGTTGCCTCTTTTGCTTGTTCTCTTTGTTCAGACTGTCAGCAGTTCAGGACAGGGATTGTAACATCCACAATCCAGACAGGAACTGAGTTTTAGGAAGGCCTGTTGCAGTTTGTAGTGTAACAGGTAAAATAAACAGTAAAATAAATAGTGAAAAGGTAATAAAATAGGGTCACCAAATGCATGGGTGAGCCCTTGCTAGCAGAGGACCAACTGCCTTTGATGACAGGTGTCCTTCAAGCATTTGATTGACACGGCTTGTTCCCTACAGAGATTAGCAACCTGGATTAATCAAGCATCTCCTTACCTTATGACAATTTAATGTGGAACCACGTTCTGCCTCCCCTGCTGTTTGAGCTATTTTGTTTACGTAAAACAATACCTAGCCTGTGGAAATAGGACAAGCAGCTAGTCTGGCCTAGACACCGAATGTAAATCTGAATTGTAGAAAGCTCTAAACAAACACACAACAAAATCTAGCTCGTATTTCCCTTCTCAACCAGTTTTCAAAGCCCTATGCAAAGCAGTTCTGCATTGTTACCGCCTTCCGACAGATGGACAGACTGAGATACAAAGAGATGAAGTGATTTGCTAGAAGAGTGAGAAAGTTCGGACTCAAAAACAGGTTTCTTGATTTCCCAGTCAAATGTTCTGTCCTTTGGACCACAACCACTGGGTTGCAATCAGCAGAGTGCTTATCTGGCATATTTAAATGTCACCAATTTGAAAAAAGACATAATTCCATTTGCTGTCAGCCCAGGAGCAGCTGTTTTTTTTTTTTTTTTTTTTTCCCTTGCACATGTACATGCAAATTTGAACAGGGTTATTTTCATTTAACAAGCTCCTGTAATATCATTGCAATCGCTTGATAGTTAAGTCATGTTAAATTAAAACTGGCTGCTGCTGCCATGTCATCAAATCAACAATACAATAGGTACATTATTAACTGAATATTTACTTTGCAGGCAATTATCTTCCTCATCATAAAGTTGACTTCACCTGGGAATGTTAAAACAGGTGAGTTGAAGCTGGAGTTCTCAGCTAATCTGGTGCTGATCTAGATGGCAATATCTCCATGTGAATTTTACCAAATGAAACCTGCATGACTCACCGTACAAAAATCCCAACCAATAACATGAGCTCATTAAACACAAATCAATCACCATAGCAACTGAAACCACAACATGTCAAGGAGTACTTCAAAAACCAGGAAATTTGGGTGAAAGTGCCCACCATGTGCAGCTTTTCAGGCAGAGCTCCTTATTGGAGGTAGTAAAGGGCTAGAGCAGATGGTGAGGGTTGTTCCAGGACAGGTGAGTGTGGCAAGCCTCTGACAAACTAACATTTTATTTACTAGGCAATCTCTTCCCTCACCTTGTAGCAGAAATCTTTTCAGGAGTCAGAAGCCTGGTTGCGAAGCTTGCAATTGAACATCTGGTGGTATTTTACATCTCTCATTTCTCTGCTGGAGATGGTGCATACCTGATATATACCACATCAGAGTCTGAAAACACTTGTGTCTGTGTGCAAGAGAGAGAAGAGGAGTATAACACATGGTTGCCCTTTCCTGGGTCAGAAGGAGAAAGGAGTCCAGCTGCCTCAAGCTAAGGTCAAGAGCCAAGCACTGATCATTAGTTCTCTTCATTCAGCAAGTCTGTGCTGATGTTGAACACAAAAGTGAGACCATAGGGTTGAGCTCAGCGCCGCTTTGGCCTCGTGCAGCCTTTCTGTGCCTGCTCTCAGCTTGTTCTGGGAATTCTGCCAACCAAAATTCCCCGCTCACTGTGTGAGTAGCTTTTCAAACATCTCAGCCTAATCTGGGGGTGTACTATGCCACCATTTCAATTAACAATCTTCTATGAATCCGAAGTTCAGGAGGCATTTCAAGTTGAGTATCTTGCAGTTGAACAGGTTTTCTCTGTGGAAGCTCGTGTCCCAGTTGTGAGAATTGCAGGGCGTGCACTGGAGAATGTCCCAGATTGGAGCTCTGAACATCTTCTGGGTCCTAGGGTCAGTGTCATCACCCTGGCAAATTTGGTGACTTTGCTTTGCACATCAATTGAGTGCTACAGGTCATCAGGAGCTTCAGCTAATCTGCGTGGGATTTATTTGGTTTCTACTTATGGGTGTATGCAAGAGGAGAGAGAAAGAGGCTGAAGATCTGTGATTCTCCTACTCGCTTCTGACCTGGGAAGAGAAAGCTTTAATACCAAACTCATATTGTGATGTCCCACAGGAGGCAGTGTGCCTCACCAGGGTCTGGTTGTGTCTCAGGGACGTGCTTCCCAAGTAGTTTGAGCTCACTTAACAATGATCAGTGTTCACAGCATGTTGTAGGGCTGAGAACTTCCCCACTGGTGAAAGCAATCCTAATGACCATGAGGGAAGGAATAGGGAGAAAATTTCTGTTCTCTACTGCAGCAAATAATGTTTTCTACTAATTGCAGTGGGATCCAGACTGGCTCATGCTGTGGCTCTACTGCTTCATCCACTGAAGTTATACACGTGCAGTGCACACATGCGTATATAAATGTATACACGCACAGTTATGCAAGTTCAAAATCCTCTTTTGCCAGTTAGCAGTAACTTTGGTTTCTAAAAAGAAATGTGCTGTATGGGACCCCAGCAGTCTCTAGGTACGTGTGTTTGTATGGGCCGGGGCTCCACGTGATGCGAGTCAGTGCTAGCTGTTGAATTCAGAGATGAATGGGAGCTGAGAGGGCACCGTTGCTATTTATAGCACAAGCCCTTCTGTGTTCTAGGTTTTCATAAGAACCTAAAATAAATTACAGTAAAAAAAACAATGTTAAAGCTGTTCAGCTAAGGGTCTTCTTAGGCAGCAAATACCAGTGTTAAAAGTGCTTTAATTTCTGAGAAGAAAGTGTAACAGGAATCACTGATCGAGAACTGAGCTCGACAAATTCAAACGAGTATGTTGTTAAATTATAATGTTAGCTGGAGGCAGGTGTAGCAAACCACCAAAGCAAGGAGTGGATTTGCCTTGTGAAATGGTCCCTTCTTCAAGAATGAATGTTTTTTGGGGGCGGGGGGGGATATTCTCAAACCAGACGTGAGTTAGTGGATTTTGTGTAGAAAAACTGGCCTGCGTTAAACAAAAGCTCAGGACCAAATGATCTAAACCATCTCTTCTGGCTCTTAAGTGTGTGGACCTTCCTATATGTACATAAACCCTGGCACGACGACTTCTTGAACTCAGCTGTGTCTTTGTGGTGCAATAATTATTAAGTGAAAGTTTCTCTCCATGCATAAGAATGCAAAAATTTTTTTCGTATTAGCTGTAGGTATGAATTCAAAATGAGGCCGATAACCTGCTTTAAACTACTGGTGAACAACCTCTTTCAGGAATAAAACTTACCTTAATTCAACCTAGCTTAATTCTCAAAGTGAAAGAATTGAAATCTGTCTGAGGTCACAAACTCGGGAGGAGTCTGCTTTCACAGGGTTTTAGCAGAGCTGAACAACCTGTGTTAATTCAAATTAATCCCTCCAGTGTCCCCGTGTAGACAAGCCCGTGGTTCTGATGCTCCTCTTGTGTGTTTCACAGTCTCTACACCGAAGCTAATATTTTCCTCATCTCTTTTGGGTGATGCTAAAACTCCGTCCTTTATCTCGTAGATGACTGTTATGTTAAATGCAGAATGCGTTAAATTGGATGCCTCACAGTTTGGATGAAATTTGTTACTTCAGGGCTTAACATTTCATCTTGGCTTATGATGAGGAGGATGAACGCTGATAGGATGTTGTCTTCATTCTCCAGGAATGCCAAAGAGGTAAAAACGGTGTCTTATTGAACATAGTTTAGACCACACACAAGTTGTTGGTCATGCTGTATATATTTTATATATCTGTATATATTTAGAGAAAGATGAAATTGCAGGAAGAGTACTGACCAAATAAGTAAGGCTTTTCTACTGCGGCTTAAAGTTCAAATTCTCTTTCTGTCATATAATTCATGTGTGAAGTAAAAGATGATAATCTTGCCCCAAACCTGTTAAAAGTAAGGAGAAATTGTCAGCCACAATCGTTTTGGACAGAGATCATCTCTCACAGTGTGCCTGCACAATATGTACAAAAATGAGAGTATATAAAGAGAGGCTCACACCTTTTGTGGCTCTTAGTACTTGAGACTTCCGAGAATCTGTCTAAAAATCTGGAAGAATAATTGCATTGTGTCGGGAAGGGAGAGGACTTTTGGTTTACCTTCTATTCAGCTGAGCCAAAGTCCTCATGGGGGGGGGAAAGAATTGTCCCCGTGGCCATCAGTGGCTGCCGCTGGTGGGCTCGGACACCTCCAACCTTCCGCGTGGTTTCTCAAGGAGTTACGTGCCTTCAGCTTTCAGGTGCTGTTCTTACACTCGCGTTTCATGTGTAGATGTTGAAACGTCACCTTGAATGCTAGATCATCAGAAAATGTCATCTGTTTTTCTGCCCCTGGTTTGGACTGCGATATGTTACCTCACTAGATTAAATTTCAGTGCTTTCTTTAGAAGAAGTCATGTTAACTTGCCTCAAGGGACTGGAAAATTCAAGAATAAAAATCTGCCAAGACTGTTTAATGCAAAGACACCATCTGTGGCTCAGGAAATTCACAAATCACAAATCTGCAGATGCTGGGAGAGTATTCGGGCTAGATATCACTGTATGTGTGCTCTGACTATTTTGCTGTTCTCTAGTTGCCTGTTAGTGGCAGGGGGCAGAGTCAGGGGTTAGATGGACTCCTGCTTGGGCTTGCGACACTGTTCTGATGCTGAAATCAGCTGCAGCAGACTCGAATTTGAGCAGACATTCCTGGTACCCCGTGTGCCTGTAAGTGCTTGTATATAGATGGTGGTGATGGTGTTACAGTTGTCATTTTTACTTTTATGATCTCCCCCTACAGTCCCCACCGAGGTCCGTACCAGGTGCTGAACAAGTCTCTGCAACAACGGGCTTTTAGCCAAAGGGTGGTGTTTTCAACCTCATTTGAAGATCTGAGAAATGCTTGCGCCACTAAATCCCTGAGACCTGCATAAATCGATCCCAAGACTCAAGGCAGATGTAGAGCAGGTAAAAGAAATGGGAACCGAAGTGAAAGGATTTGTCCACTGTCACAGAGCAGTTCTTGGCACAGCTAGGCATGGAATTCAAGTTCCTTTAGCCTTAACGTGCTGTCCTGTGCACTGTGCAGTTAGTTCCTCCCCTCACATCTACCTCTTCACAAAAATGTTACTGTAAAACAAAAACATTTTAAAGCTTTGATTCAAATATTTCCCCTCTGCGAACACCAGTTGATGAATCAGAATAGTAAGCTGTCATTTCTAGCCCTAAATCCTACATGTTCTGGCAGTTCCTCTGTGAAAGACAATAGCTTAGGACATGTAGTTGCAGTGATTTCCGTTCTTGACCACTTTTCATCTCTTTGGTGATCAGAGATGCTCTCTTTAACCCTAGCTGAGCCTCTGAATATTCCCTCTTCTTTATAGCAGGACTCACTGCTTTCTCATGCTTCTTTGAAGGCATGATTGAGTTAAATCACCTATAAATCCTACTCAACACAGTATCTGTTTCAAGGTAGTGAAATATACATTTCACAACATCATTCTGAATCATTAGCTGGTGCTGGGAGAGAGGAAGTAATTCAATCAAAGCTTACAAGCATTTTGTCTTACATTTGCTTTTTGACAAGACCCCAAGGGGCTGACTTTTGTCTTGCTAGTGTCAGATGCATCACACGGTACTCAGAAGTTAGGATGAAAAATTCTCTCCTAGGATTGATCAGAAATCACAGATGCAATGGGATATCTGGAATTGGAGACGTTGAGCACGGGTAAGTAGCGGCCAGCTGTATCGCTCTAGGGAAGAGGATCCTAGTCCAAGTACATTGACCATATATAGTAGAAATAGACTGGAGTTCTATTAATTTGTAAGAGTGACTGGCTCTCGGCTGTATTATGATGGAAAGTGTATTTTGTAAGAGCATGTTACCTGTATTACTACTATTACTTTACAAATGGTTTAAAGCTATTTAATAGTCTCCTTTGAGCATCTGAATAACGATAGGGAATGTGTTTTCCTGGGTGATTCTGCTATGAAGGCAGTAACTCCTCTTTGAAACCAAGCATATTTAAAACAGAATGATAATTTGTAAAGATATAATCAGAGGCTTTGCCAACAAATCCTCGTTGCTAGATGTAGGGTTTTTCAGGTCAAGACCTTTTTTCCTGTACAGTGCTGAGCCCTCTGGTGGTGTTTAGCAAACAACAAATGCAGTGTGGACCCTGTAGGACTCAGCCAAATTCACCTCGGGTGTAATGGCCTATGCAGGATGCACCAGGGTTGAACTGACCCCCTAAGAGAGAAGTGAAGAACCAGCTGCCTCCTGTAGCTGACAGCACCTGGCTGTGCTATTGCTACTCAGACAGTAGCTTGGGTGTAGGAGAGCGTGGTGAGGGACAGAAGACAGACCTGTTGTTCACCTTCTCCTAATATTGGTCCTTGTTTGGTATTTTTCTTTTTTTAATGTATCTTTGGAAAGCTTCACAGCTGTCACGCAGCTGTCATGTAGTTGGTCCAGCATTGCTTCTTACCCCTGAGAATTGGATCTGCTGCCATTGCTTCACTGCGTCTCAGCGTGAGCAAAGCCACCCTTCTTCCTGTCAGATACAGCAAAACAATCCTTACCTGGTCCTAGCTGGGGACACTTTCCTGCCTCTCTTTCTTTCTTATGGCACACGACTGGTTTCAGATGACTGCAGTGGATCAGCACGTACAAGTACCAGTGTGTCAGCGTGCAGCGGAGTCTCTGCATGCTGCTGCTCATAGCCGTGTTTGTTTGTGATGGAGATAAGTGAAGGCTGAAAACGGGGAAACAATAGGCAGGGGAATGCTGATGAGAGATGATAAAGAGTTACATTAACACTTCTTGCACACAGCTTTATGTTGAGTTTGCAAATTTGGAAACTTGACTGCTGGTAATATTGGATACTTCTGTCAAACGAGGGCAGGGCGATTTATCTTAACAGGCCTGCCTTGTGTAATCGCCTCCAGGAAAGGAAAGGCAGTAATCCGTGCTACCTACAGTAGTGCAGAGCAGCAGCCAGCGCGGTGGGGTCTGGGCCCTGAACGGGCTTTCTGCAGCACCTAGAGCTTCCCCAGTTATTTATTAGCAACTGTCATTAAATCTCTGTCTTCTCCATGCCATGTCTGAATGTAGTTATTAAGAACTTGGATTATGTGCCGGGCAAGCTGTTGATGTAAGACACCTCTGTGCACCTGTCCACTTAGGAGGCTGATCTTATATCGGTCTTAACTTCAGGAAGTGGCTGTTCCTAATAATTTATTGAGTGCTGACAGCCTGTTCTTTTCTGTCCAGAATACCTCCTCCCTGTGAAGGCTGCATACTGAGTAAGGCAGACAGTGCCCTATAAATCACGATCAAATGCAGCCATGCTGCAGTGATTCAATATGTGATTCATTTAAGATTGGAGGGGAGGAGGAGAGATGGGAAAAGATGGGATAAAAGCACTTTCCTGAAGAATGCTAAGTGGAGATCACAGATTATTTTCAATTAGATTTGCTGGCATGCAGCTTTTGCAAGCAGGCAGGAACTGGTAGTCATGTGAACCGTCTGCTTTATTCACGGGAGCAGTGCTTAGATGTCCTTCTCGAGAGCTACTTAAAAAGCAGTTCTGTTTATCTGCAAAGGAAAAAAAATTATAACGTTGCTCTGCTTTTCAGCCCTTAGGTTATGTCTATTTTCACCAAGGTCTTGCTAAGCATTTGTTCTTGAATCAAAAGGCATTTTCGATTGATGAGAGCAATTAAACAATTTGGAGGTGGCTGCCTGTGTTAGGTCTGGCTCGAAGGATTTTGGTGTCTCTCAGAAATTCTATACTGAGAGGTTTCTGATGTGTGTCAAAGAACTCAATTTAAACTCCGGTTCTGGGGCAGGGTGTGTGCATGTGTGTGTAATGACACAGGGGAGGAAGTCTGTCTTTCAGCCGCGCTGTCTGAAGAGGTGTTCAGAAGACTCCGCAGCTTTTGTCAGCCTCGCTTTCTTGTTCGAATGACTTCAGAGTTCAAAGAGACTGCTGCACAGACCTACCTCTGAGATAGCGGTCCCCCTCGGGGGCAGCAACCAGCAGCCTTTGTGGATGATGACTGACTGCCTCTCCTGGCTGGCGTGGCAGGAGTCAGTGGGACAGCTGTGAAAGTACCTGCGAGGCAGAAGGAACGCAAGGTTCGTGGTTTGAACCCGAGGCGTGTCCTGGGAAGACTTGAACCCTGTCGTGCCCAGCTCTGGACAGACATGGAAGCAAGGTACAAAATGAGCAAAGAGCAGGGCCCTCCGGTGTGGCAAGCTGTTTGCCCAGAGGGCAGAGGGTTTCCTAGGGGGCCTCCTTTACACTCTGTGCTGGCATAGGCACTGGAGGTAAAGTTTTAAAGCATTTGCATGCCTTGGGCGGCTGTGGGTGACTGATGTGATAGCTAAAACCAGGCAGCTGAAGCTCCACACACATCTCGCTTTTCCTGTGCCTACATGAGCATTGCAGGTGTGCTGAATGTCTGGGCTGGTGGGAGACAGGGCCCGGTTAGCTCCTGCCTGGGCAGCCTCGTGGCCCTGAAACCAGCAGGGCGTGAAGAAGTGCAGTGCTGCAGCCCTGGGGCTGTGGCCCAGCTCCCTTTCTAGACCTTGAGTCAAGGAAATCCAAGCTGCTTTCGGCCTGTGGGGGTGCCTTGAAGGTGGTCTCCTCAGGGTGCCCATATGGACAAACGCCACTTCCCCACGAGCTCTGTGCAGGTGCAGCCGTGCTTCTCTTTGGGTCACGGCTGAGCCTGTGAAGTGGATCTTTCTACCACTGCGCTTCAGGAACCTTCCCGGGGGTCCTGGGTTGCTTTTGGATGAGACCAGGCCACGAGATGTGCAGATAACAAACCCCAAATGCTGACAGGCAATCTGTTCATCGGTTGGGTTTAAGGCCAGGATAGATCTTAACAGTCTTCTCCACAGACCCTCTTGTATTGCTCCGCAGCATTTGCTAACGTAATGGGAGCCTCAGGCTGGTCTTACAGGTGGCTCACAGGTGCAGTGTATGGACCCTGATGCCTAGGGTACTTTTCAAAATGTCATCTATTTCCAGATGTATTCCAAACCAACATAAATCGGATTTTGCGGTGGTTTCTCAGCTCACCAAGCTGCAGCGGCATCACTTGGGCTTGCAGAGGTATAAACAGGGTGAGGTGAAGCTCAGCTGGTATCAGGGAGGTGGCCAGGTGGGATTTTCCCTTGGGGGATCCAGGACACCACCTGACAGGGGAGATGTCAGCATGCCAGCCCCGTGCCGTGACCCCAGCTCGGGCTGGCAGGTTCATCTCTCCTCAAGAGGGCAGCAAGGCTTTAGGGAGGGCACCTGGACCGTGAACCTGCAGCCCCTGAAGAGAACTGGGGTTATTTTAGCAAGAGGCTTTCACAAACAGATGGATGTCCAGCAGATGCCACAGATTCATGTCAGGATCATCTCTGGCATCTAGGTAGCTCACATTAATCTATCTTTATACCATTTTTAAACCAAGCCTCACTGCAGCAATAACTGGAGTTTGTGTAAAATGTGCTGGCTGTCTGTACAGCCGGGTGGACAGGAGTCCCTAATACAAAGGCGTCCCAAGATTTTCAGCAAGGGAGAAGTCTCCTTTAAATTCAGGGCACCAAGAGCGACGTAGAAATGGGTAGTTTTCATCTGTGAGTCACCAGCACATGTCAGCTTGGGTTCCTCTCCCATTTCCAAAAGCTTCCTGGTACTGAATTCTACCAGCTCGTCGCATGCTGCTGCACCCCAGCGAAAGGTGAGGCGCTGCTCGTATTGTTCACCCAGACACACAACACGACGTGCATCGACATATCCCAAACGGCGAGCGGCAGCCGTGTGAATTCCCAGCGCTCAATATACTTGTCAATGCACATTTATTCGCACTAGGCTTGGAACTTAGGGTTTAATTAGGATTTATTAGAGGGTACATGATACTCTGAACAGAAAATACGATCTAAACTGATGAGGGTTTTGTTTAAACACACACTCGCACACACACGTTTGAATGTCAGGCTCTCATTCAAGTTCTTGTCCTCTTCTGGATAAGCCAATATTGTTATCTTTTCTACTGAATCAGAGAAAAGAATGGGTTGGTTTTCTTTTTCTTAGTCAAAGTATATTTTAAACAAAATAATTGGAGTGCTGCTAGTTTTGTGCCTCAAGGCAATGACTGTCAGAAAAACAGTCTCAAGATGTCTTTTTTTTTTTTTTTTTTTGTCTTTTTTGAAGAACATGCTGGGCAGTGAGGCAGATGGAGCAGCCCATCCATAACTGTGAGCGCGGGGCAGCCGGTGCTGCGGGGTGCTGCTGGTGTTGGTACCACCCAAATGCTTGGGTAAGTCAGAGGTAGCCCTGGACACCCTTGTGCAGTGAGGTCCCTGCGTGGACACGAGGTGGGGCAGGTTTGGAAACACGTCGTGCTTTTGGCCTTTTGCACAGCCATTCCTTACCCGTGGTGTGGTTATGCCAGCTCAAGCCAGCCCCTTCCCGTGTGTGCTCTGCGTGTGGGAACAGGAGGGGAGATGGCTGGGGGTGGGAGAAGGGGTCGATCAGTGACAGAGGCTACTGCGACACGTCCTGATCAAGAGAAATACTTCACCTGGGCAAGGAGAGGAAAAGAGGGAGCTGGCTATATCTCTGCTAATAAATTAAACAATGTGCAGGAATGTTCCTGGGCCGGGAGCGTGACTGCCCGCCCTGGTGAACTGTTCGAACAGTCCCTGGCGAGGCTTTGGCATGTGCCAACCAGTGCTGCCCCGGGTAGTTTTCGAGTACGGTTTGGCAGCAGGCGAGTTCCTGGGACCATCCTCAGTCGGCTGGTTGCATGCAGCCTCCCTGTTTTGAAGGCGAAGGGTGTTTACTGGCGGAGGCTCAGCCCGCTCCATGCCAGCTGGCCTCCGTGCCCAGGAATGTTCCCAGGCACACTTAATTTACTTGTAGAGATGTTAACAGTTAGCATCTCTCCCCGCATCTCACATCGCAGTGCTAGACTAGGACTGTGCTGCTTGTCCACAAGCTTTTTTTCAGTGGTGCCTCCTGCCGTGCAGGGCGTTGGGTCTCGCGCTGTACGTGCGTGAAACCCCATCAAGGTGTCTTCTTCCCTGGGAAGTCCTACACCGGCCACAGCTCCGTTTGAGATAGGGCTCCAAATAACACTGCTTTCGGGACTGACCTCCCCCCTGTTGGTGGTTCCTTTCAGTTCATCATCTGTCTAGCTTGCCCTGCCACTTTTTCTTATTTACTTCTCATTAAAGTTGCATTTGCTTTGGCATTGTTGCTTTCTAAAGGAGGAATCCCAACTCAAACGTGGAAAACTCTCACTGATTCTACAGACAGAGGATTTTGCTGCAATTTCCTATGTCTATGAACGCTCTGTATTACCGGTTGTTTTATTTTAGATGTATGTCTTATTACTTATTACTTATTACTTATTACTTATTACTTATTACTTATTTATTATTCATTATTTATTACTTATTATTTAGATGTATTCTTATTACTTATTTTCTTCCCATATTTCTCAGACTTTTTAAGTCCCATTGTATTATTCTCTTATTTCTTTGCTCTTTACAGTTCTTTTCTTCCACGCGTCTCCAATCCATTTCATTATGTAAGAAGCCTTTGGCATATTCATGATATAGTTACTGAAAATGTATTTTCAGTCGTTCTTTAGGTCAACACTGATCACAGAAAACAACAGGTCAATTGGAAAAACATAATTTTCGCATGGCAATGTCTGCTTTTGAACTGGTACAGTGAACAATATGCTAGGGTGCCTAGAAGTGTATGATCTCTTCATTAATGATCTGGAAGAGAATAGAATATATTTTGGGATTGGCACACACTTTATATTCACAGACCAAAAAGATTAGTTCATGCTTCAGTGATATTCCATCACATTTATGAGACCTGTTACTTATAGCTGAGATAGTCACCAGATTTTGTGATGAGAGCAATGGTGTGTATTCTTTATTAGGTGTCCATACCGAGTCTTTGTTGGAGATTTCTGTCTCTAAGCCAAGACAAGCCAGGTATTTTGGTTCATTATAGTTTAATTGTTGTTTTGAGAGTTTTGTTGTTTATTTTTGAAACCTGTATAATGATGTCACGGGTGGATAATGCTGGGGGTAGCCACTTCCCAAAAATGCTGAGAGAGAAGACTTATGCTAAAGGTTATTAGCTTTGTCCTGTATTTTTAGCTAAGAATTCCAGCAGTTGCTCTTTGAGAAAGTACTGATTTCTGTCATATAGTTCCTGCAAATAAATCTGGCTTTAATACTTAATCTTACTATTTCATCACATGTGTTTATACTCAGTCACTCAAATGCTTTCCGTGGCTCTCCTCTCACTTTCAGTGCAAACAGGCATATTTCAAGAAATCTGCATTGTTTTACCTGGGGGGTTCTCCGAGATTGTACTGACTGGTGTGTTTCCTTGTAAAAGATTATATTCATTGAAGCTTTTGGCTCTAACTATGAGAGAAAAGAAAAACAAACAGTTTATAGACTTCTTTGAGGGGCATGAAAGAGCTGAAGCCAGTGAACTATTTTTTATTAAAAAATAAGCAGCTATGTGGCATGGTGGCAGCCTCCTTGGACACAGAGCTATCACCTTCTCCTTCTGTAGTCCAAAACTGTCAGGACAGGCATATGTCCATATCCTCCCTCTTGATTTATTTTGCCCAGTTAGAGAATAATCATAAAGCCTTTTATTCGCAGAAGAACAGCTCAGATTGATGTAGGTGACTGGCACATAAGTAACTGATCTGGAGTGATTTTGCAGTAAATAAAGCAGCAAGTAGCCCCCCTGTGTGTCTGCAGTACTATTACTATATTTGTGACAGACCGTGTGTTTGAAGGTAAAGCTGTCCCCTGTTTTTTTCACTGGGAGTTGAACATCTGAAATGCTTTTGGTATTAAAAACTCAGAAAAAGTTTCAGTTGGATAGAAGATGACAGTAGTTCAGACCAGCTGTGTTACCCTTGTTTTAAATTCTGGTGTTGTATATTCCAGCCGGCACGCCATATATCCATTGTGATCCAGTCTCCTAATAGGCTTTGATGGATACATCTCCTCAGTAAAGACAGAAACAGTTGAAAAGCATGGTGTAATGCACATCTCCCACATCTTCTTAAGACGTCCACTTTATTCTCTTCTGGACCACCAGCTCCACAGCCAAATTAGCCACTGCTAAGAAGAAAAGGCCCATGGCCTGAAGGAAAATTTTATGGCTTAATGAA